GAAGTAGGGTTCCTTCTGGACGTATGCCCAGGAGCAGGATTCCTGGGTCATATGGTAAGTATATTGCTAGTCTTTTGAGGCATCTCCATATTGTTTTCCACAGTGGCTGCAGCAAACTGCATTCCCACCAACAGTGTAGGAGGGTTCCCTTTTCTCCACAGCCTCTCCAGCATTTGTCATTTGTGAACTTTTGAATGATGGCCATTCTGACTGGTGTGAGGTGATACCTCATTGTAGCTTTGATTTGCATTTCTGTGACAATTAGTGATACTGAGCATTTTTTCAAGTGCCTGTTGATCATTTGTATTTCTTCCTTGGAGAATTGCTTGTTTAGGTCTTCTGCCCATTGTTGGATTGGGTTGTTTGTTTTTTTCTTATTAAGTTGTATGAGCTGCTTATATATTCTGGAGATCAAGCCTTTGTTGATTTCATTTGCAAAAATTTTCTCCCATTCCATAGATTGTCGTTTTGTTTTACTTATGGTTTCCTTTGCTGTGCAGAAGCTTGTAAGCTTCATTAGGTCCCATTTGTTTATTGCTTTTATTTCTATTGCTTGAGTAGACTGTTCTAGGAGAACATTTTTGAGATGTATGTGAGATAATGTTTTGCCTTTATTTTCTTCTAGGAGGTTTATTGTATCTTGTCTTATGTTTAAGTCCTTGATCCATTTTGAGTTGATTTTTGTGTATGATGTAAGGGAGTGTTCTAGCTTCATTGATTTACATGCTGTTGTCCGGTTTTCCCAACACCATTTGCTGAAGAGACTATCTTTATTCCATTGTATATTCTTGCCTCCTTTGTTGAAGATTAGTTGATCAAAAGTTTGTGGGGAAATTTGGCCCTTTTGAGCTTTCAACCAACTGAGAATTTTCTCACTGGGGTTAGTGAGGAAGGAATGATGAAAAACATTAGTTAATACTGTTCCTTGCTTCTCTCTCCCATCTGTGGAGTCAAGAACTGAAATATCACCAAATATGTGATTATTTTATTTTCAGTATCAATATTGCTTTTAACTTCCCCCCCAAAAAAGTAAATTAAAAAAATATTTATTTTCCCAGTGGATTTGCAAAAAAAAAATTGAATAAAATTTAGAGTAAATTATTTCACATTCGATTTCTGGATTTTACAAAGGTTAGAATGGTTTTTAATTTTCTCAAATGGCCATAACCTGGAAATCCCATTTAGAAATAAGCAACTAAAACAGAAGAATCAACAGTTTAGAGTGGTTAATGCATAGTATGTCTGAAGGAGGGCATTTGAATTGCCAACTTCTTATAATTCCCTATTGCAATTTCAGTGCCCAGAATCATTGAGCTGAGTATGGGCTCACTAGGTATTTAACTTATGTTTTTTTGAGCTCAGTACCTTCAGGGTTTTTTTTTTTTTTTCAATTTTAAAAATCCAAGGAGTGGTTGGAGAAATCTAGAGAAGGTAAGTTCCAGCTGGCTTTGCCATTTCCTAAACTGATTTATGTGAGATTTCCATTACTATATTTATCAGTTCTGAATTTATTTCAGAATAAAAACCCTGCCTAGAAATAAATTGATAAGACATAAGCTATATATTTGAGCAAATACGTTTTGCTACAACTCCCCAGTTTCTTGCAAGTCAACCGTTACTTTTAATCTGTGATGTCAGACCTACATAAGTGAGAACATATGCTTTGCTTTGCAAACCAAATTTCCTGTGTAAATGTTAAGATAGAAGATGAGCATAAGATGGCTCTGAAAGAATGACTCTTTAGGCTTCCAAAAAATTAGTATTTTTTCAAGAAATTCATAGAGAAAGAAATGATTCATATAAATGCTTTATTTAAGGACAAACTTTCAGCCAGGCTTTTACAGCATTAAGCTCTTTTTCATTACACTTCATCCAGACTCTAACTTCAGTATGATCATATGTCATGATCATGATGATCATGCTGAAAAACACTTCTAATAAAACAAATAGCTTTTAGCTATTTTATAAGATATGCCATTATTTAAGACTTTTACCATGAACCAATTACATAGCTAGTTTTAAATCAGATGAGAGAAAATTAAGGAACTCTTATAAAATCAGATGGCCGTTGACTAAAAATTTAGCCAAACAGAATAATTTTATGTATCAGAGACCACAAGAACTGTATAAGAAGTCTATTACCATTTATACAGACGCAAAATTAAAAAGGGCTGATTGTAAAATTATGGAGTTAGGCAATGTATAAAAAGCAAGAAATATTCGTTATCCTAGTATGAGAAAGAATGAAATTTTAACTGATGACATTATGCTTATTTAGATCACTAAACTTTACATACCGTTTGTCCTTAATAGATGTTTGCTATTGTTTTTTTAATTAAAAACTGCACAATTATCAGTTGTGAGATAAGACAAAACATAAAGTTATGTGAAGGGTGTTCCTTCAATTGTTATCCAAGAATAGGATTTGCCCTACCTAAGCTATTTTTCTCCTCATTGTCTCTGGTTCCAGTTTCTCCCCTGAGCTGTAATCATTTTTGTTCTTTCCATTCATCCTAGATTCTTCCCAGCCAAATTGTCTCTCACAGAGTTGTCAGGTATCCTGTATTCAATAAAATTTCTTAAGGTCTATGATAGAGACTGGGATCAGTAATTAAAAAACCTCCTGCCCATTACTGAGCTTTTCCTCTGTTGCTGGCATTATGCTAGGTGCTTCCATGTATTATTATCTTATTTAATCCTTCATGAAATGGGTGCTTTATGAAATGGGTGCTATTATTTTTTACAGGGGAGGTGACTGAGGCAGAGAGGTATGCAATGGTCATGGTTACAAGTGACACTTGGGTTGCCAAATTTTATGGTCAGTCCTCAGTCCTCATTTTATTTACATACTAAGTGGTGAATGCAGTTGAACACCCCTTGCTTTTAGAAAACCTTTGTCTTCTGGAACATCATGCCTTCCTGGTTTCCTTATGCTGCAGTGGTTGAATTTTCTTTTGAACTTTTGTAGGTTCTTGCTCTGGCCTTCCTTACCTCTGCATGTTCAAATACCTTAGAGCTCAATCCTTAACCTCTTCTCTCTCCATGCTCACTTTTTAAATTCCTATCTATACTCACAGATTTCTTATTGTGTATGTATTAAATGGCTCTCAGTAGAATTAGTCATGCATATGGATTTATTAAGGAAAGCAACTGGAAGTGATCTCATATTGTTTTTTTAGAAATCTGTTTGATTGTCCTTGGATGTCATCTTTTAAGGGAAGTTCAGTCTTTGATAGATGCCAGCCTTTAACACTAAGTCTGGTCTGTGGCAGTTACACGGTTTTCATCTGTATCTCTGGAAGATAGCAAAGGTCAAAGAAGTAATCACGTGAGAAAAGACATTTCCTTCTAGCATGTTATTCTTACAAATGTGGGTGTATAATGCTCAGGATTTTTCTTTCCTGATCCAGTAAGTGAGAAAAAGCCAGAGCTCTCCTTGAATTGAGACGTTAGAATTTTAGAGAGGGTCTAAGGCCATTCCTGGCATCAGCAGAAAGATCTTTAATAACAATTCAGATTTAGCTGAAATAAACTTCAGAAACTAAAACTAAGACTAGACTAGAACTAGTAATTTTGGAATTTCCCTTGAAGTAAGTGATAACACAGATACAGAGAGGATAAGAAGCCGTTTCTTCATTAAGACCTATAAAAGGAAAAAAACTAATAAAGATGAACAGGTTAAGGAGCTCAGAATAATGGACACATTCTTAATAAGCCAAGAAAAACCAGAGCATATTACTGCTACATAGAGAAAAACTAGAACTATATAATTGCAATAAAAGATTGAGGAGAAAGACTTAAAAATCTGTTGGTTTGCATTTCTTTAAATGTTACTCTAATTGTACATTGTATGTACAGTGCATTTAAATTATTTATATCTATAATTATTTTTAAATGTTGAATATAATTATTTTAATTTTTTACATTTATTTTAATGCCTTAATTGTGTGCCATTTACTTTGGTAAGCACTGGAGACACATTTAGTGAATGAAATACAGTATCTATGCTCAGGAGACTCTCTGTCTAATGGATTAGACACAGGAAAACAGACAGTTAGAGTATGGAAACTGGAGAGAAGAGTCCTGTTAGGTGGCGAGTACAGGGATTTTGAAGACAACTTATTAAGATCGCCTATTAAAGTGTGAGGATGAGCTCAGAAAAGGATATTTAATGTTCAGGTTGAAATATGTACATTTAGACAAGTAGAAGTAATAAGATGTAGAGTAATGTTTAGGGTGATTTAGCCAGAAGGAGTATTGCCCAAAGAATGGCCCCCATCCCTGATGAGCCAAATTGAATCTCAGAGACAAGGTCTTAGAGCTTAGAAGAAAAGAGACAGTTTTATTCCTTTGCCAGGCAAAGGGGGCTCACAGCAGGCTAGAGCCTTCAAAACTGTGAATCCACCTTGGGGATGGGGTGAGTGATTATATAGCCATAGCTCAAACAATAAATCAGTAACAATGAACAGAATCATTTTCTCGTCATAAGACTTAGAGTGGCTCATGATGCCTCCAGGTGACCAATTCTATAGAGGCTATCTGTTGTCACTTTTTCAATCTCTTTATCTCATAAGTGCCCAAGGCGTGGTCTCCTTGGTAATTCAAGCTATTTTGTAAGGTTACAGTTCTGTGACCTTCTCCCTGGAGAACAACTCAGAAACCAAGTATGATTATTACTTTTGATTACTGGAATAAAACAGAAACAGTAAAATTGATAGCTTTATTCTAACAACGGTCCTGGAACTGTAAGTAGCAACTTGTCAATCAGGTTGGTTGACTGTTTTAAAGGCAAGCATAAGAATAAGCAATCTGTTAGCCTAAATGTGGCCATTTTATTCTCCTTCAGGAGCATCTCCTGTTGGTGGTAGTGTGAAGGCATAACTCTATCAAGATCTAGGAGCAGTTTAAAATGACTGTAGCACAAAGTGGTAATATCAGGTTGGAAGAGCAGAGAGGGTCAGATATAAAAGGTAAATCATTATCAAGTGTCTTAGCTCAGGGTTCACAAGTTGTTCAGTTCACTTCTTAATCACTCTGTTACAGATGGAAAATGGACTTTCTCAATACTAACTTATTAGGTTTCCTGTCACACCACACTTTCCGTGGTCAGAGCTCAGTTTTCATGTGACTTGACCTATCCTTCCACCATCAGGTGATTACATAATTGTGGACCCCTCTCTGCTTTGCTAACTTCCTAAGGATTGTTACTATGTTCTTGGGGACCCCACCTACCATTCCTTATCTTTCCTCCCTTTAGTCATTTATTTTTTGTTTTTCCAAAAGGTAAATTTTTTTGTTACTTCGTCCCTTCTTTGATAATAGTTTTGGTGCCCCATTTAATCCACAGCTCTAATTTTTAGCTTCGTACCTGATACAAACTAGTTCATTTTCTCCTTTTCCTCCTAACTGATAAAAGAAATAGTGCACTTCATTCTTCTAGTACAGCAAAGAATGAAGAAAAACAAAATCAGTTATTCCATATTAAAAAAAAAAAAAGACTGGTCCTTCCTAAACTGCTCCATTTTTTAAGGAATTTGGACTTCTAAAGAGAAAAAAAGTGACTCATTGCACTGGAATTATACCAGAGGCCCAAAACCTGAGAACTAAATGTGACTCATGAAGCCCCACATACTTTAGAGTGAACTGCTAGACTGTCTATGCAGGACTTGGAAGATGAAGTTCCTACAGTCAGTGACAACAGCCTTTTGTCATATCTTGGAAGTCAGAAGCAAATGTTCTGTAAGTGCTAGGGCATTTCTCCTCACCTCAGGTGAAGAAGGAGAAAAGTTGAGAAGTTAACGAAGTGAAGAGAGAAGGTTTATTTTTCAGGGAGTTGACCATATTCTCTGAATTTTCTATATCCAACATTATAGGTAAAGGAAGTTGGGTTCTTCTGTCTCAACTCAAGTTGTGTGATGAGGTCTTCGAGTAGTTTACTTGGAGATCTTGTCATTGGGCTATGAGAGTTTGAGGAAAATAAGAACTAGCATTTGACAGGTATCTACAAAGTCTAAAGGTCAGAGGATATGATTTCAGAATCTCTCTTGGGGTAATTGATATTGGGAATAAACTACACTTTCATCAGTGGCTGAGCATATGTTCTCTGGAGACAAGATATGAACTTGAGGGAGGGGTAGGGACCTTGACCAATGGACATATTTCCTGAAGCTGAGGGTACTAGGTGTAAGTGGCTAGCCTTTGTCAAGGAAGCTATTCTGTGGCTCCCAGTTAGGATGATTTCCAAGTAATCTGCAGAAGTATCCCATGAATGAATGGGCTGGTTTTTAACTCTTGCCATGTCCAAATTACAGAGATTATCAGCAACACAAGACTGTGTATCCTTCTCCTTATTCCATTTCTCCCTGTGCTGGAGAAGTAAAAAAGAGGTTAGTGAGTAAAGGAAGGAGACAGCAAAAGGTAATAATTTAGAAGTTGACCATATTTTTTTCTCTGTTGTAGATTTGGAAGCCTCGTAAGGGCTTAAGCAACTACAGAAACAAGCCTTAAATTAGGGAAGGACTCTGAGATTTGGTTGTTATGCTAAACTGGACTGGAGTTAAGTGGCTTTTACACAGATGTGGGTTTTTATGAACTATTTGATCAGTAAAAGTTATGGTATTTCCCCAAAGTTTTATGCGGGATTAGAACAACTACTAGTTCACAGAGATTTGAAGGGATATAAAAGAGCAAGAATGAAAGTTGGTTTTGCTTATATTCTATCAAATCCAACTAGTTCAATAAATTTCTTATAAGTGTGTGTTCAAGTATGTGTTTGTGTATGCTGCCATGTGTGGGTATCTCTGTGTATGAATATTTATGTATGAGTATATATAATGAAATTATCTTCTCCTTTTAGATATCAAGTTTTCTTAATGTCTAAAAATCAAATAAGCCCTCAATTTCATGTAATTTTTGTCATTCCAATGGCCTTTTCTTTATTTCCTAAAATTTATGTGGGATCTTTATATTTTCTCCTTTTGTTTCTTTTTGCTTTCTTGGTCATCACTCTTTTATTCATGAATTTTTTGTTTTATATTTTTTGATGTACAAAAAGCTATACTCTCTCTCCTCTCTCTATGCACACACACACACACACACACACACAGATATGTAACTTGTTGAATTTGGTGATAAGTATACATCTGTGAAACCATCAACACAATCTATGTCGTGATCCTTATTTATCACTTCCAAAAGTTTCCTCCTTTCTTATTCATTATTACTCTTCATTCTTACATCATGTTTATTTTTCAGTCACCGTGGGTCATCTCAATACAGGTATTCCAGCTGCATCAGATTGCTCTGGTCTTTAGTGCCCTGCCCCAAACTATGAATTCAAATTGTTCTCTTCGACTTTTCAAGGAACCACTAACAATGCTCTTTTGAGTAAACAGGAATTTACTGAGGGTCTAGTGATAATAGCTAGGAACAAGACGTGAAAGTTCTAAATCCTAATGCCTAATGATTAAGCCTTGACCCTTAACCCTCTTCAAGTTTTTTCATCTCATAAAATCGATGCTTTTCCATCCAGGATTATCTATTTTTTTAAAACATGGGGAAAAATCTGGAAATTAGGAGAGTATGATTCTTGTCCTGGCTCTGTTACTAGTTTGTCATGTGACCTGGGGTAATCTTAGCATCCTTGACTATATAATGAGATTGGAGTAAATAATCAGTACTATTTCTTTGAGCTTAAATATACTACCAATCTATGATTCTGTATTTATACACTGGTCAGTAAAGAATTAAAAGTAACTGAAAATCTTCATTGAGTTCCATGAAATATCATCAACAGGTTGCTTTGTTATAGCTGAAGAATTTTAAGAGAAGAAACAGAAGTATCCAAAAATAAGCTTATGGCATTTTGGAAGGATGGTGGTCTTCCTGGTGACATTGCCTGTGAGAGGAGCCTTTATTTGTCATGCTTGATTTAATGGAGTCTGTTTCATCTTCTTAATTCTGTGTTTAGTAGAATTTGGCCTCCATTTTTTCCTTTCATACTTCTCTGGGAAGATTTTCCCAGGAACTGCTTCTTTTCAGAATCACCATTCCCTCGTCAGTCCCGCCTTTCCAAAACCTGTTTTATTGTGGTTGTGTCACTCCATTAGATATGCACATGGTAATACCCCAGTCATCTTTTTATCTACTTCACCTTAAAGTTTCCTTGTATTTTACACGCTTGAGATTCCTTTCTAGAGCTACCAATTCCATCTCCATGTTGCCGATTGGAACCCATTCTTCGTGTGTAATTTGTCTGTTCTCACCTAGATAACACAGGGCATCTGATTCTGTGCAGTAGTGCATGCTAGTCCTTCCAGAAGCTAACTCAGTTTGTTTTCAAAGGAACATAACAATATTGTTTTCACCGTCTCAGAGGTGTTACATTTGTGACTCTATTTGGTATTGAGAGAGCGGAATTAAGACACTTAAGAGGCAGTGAAATGAAAGGCAGAAATAGCTTGTTCTTGAAAATGGAACGAAATCTATTTCCATTTAGCTAAAAGCACAAGACCTTTCTAATCAAACATTTAACATCATGACCTGGCCAGGGAAAAAGTGTATTTGCTCAGTTATAATTGGTTCAGCTCACAGAAGTGGATTTCTCATTGTCTGCGCAGCTACAGGAAATATGGTTAATAAAAGCACATGTCAGCCTGACTGAAGCTGTTCTATAAAGCCCTGCCAGACCACTCTGTACAACTGTTATTTCCTATTATTAGAACTAAATCTTGAGTCATGGTTAAAATGTAATCAGTGTTCAAGAGAGTGGTCTGTAGAGGTAAGCAGTAATTCAGATTTGATTGGCAACATAGGCTGTTCAGGGAATAGTTCAAAATGAGAAGTGTTTTGAGAGAGCCAGAAACACAATTCAAAGTGATGATTCTCAGAATTTTCCTAACATTGGGTTGTTGATAAATATATTACCAATTTTTCAAGTTCTGTCCTTCCTAGCAACTGTAATAATAATACACGGTGGTTTTGTGTACATGATCTCATTTGACCCCTAAAACACAGCCTTGTGATATAGGTATCATTATCACTATTTTGGTAGTTAAGGAGACTTACCCAAGGTTCCCAGGTTTGTGGTCAGTGTCAGGATGAGCCTTTCTCCCTGCTCACCTGCCAGCAGAGCCCAGGCATTTCTTATGGTCCCATGATGCCTCCTGGAAAGGTGGTATATGAATATCTCTATCAATTTTCTGCTCTATTGTTGCTTGCATGGAATCCATGTTTATTGTTTCCATCATTGGCAAAACAGAGCAACAGCACCTTCATCATAGGGTGGTTATAAAGACAAAATCCCAAGAAATAACCTGTCTAAAAATTAACATGTCAAAAGGGAATTAATATGGCCCATCTAAAAGCTCAATTTCAGTTGCTTTATATGTAAATTTCATAATTTGAAATAAAGTTATTTCCTTTAGGTAAAAGGCATTATGATTAGGTACATCAGTAACATAAGTTTAGAAACAAGTACATTTATCTTTTTATATAAAAAACGGTGTTGTTGACACATTGTTAGAGAGAGGGGTATTGTAAACCATCTTCCTCTTTCGATCTGCACTGATTCTGAAGTTCTGTGTGTTAACCAGATGAGCAAAGACTGTGTTAAGCCAATACACTTGGATTGTATACAGGCGTTGCTACCAATTTTGCTTTGAACTTTATTTGAACATTATAATTAATGTCTCTCTACTTGTATTCTGTCTTCCTCTCCCATAGAGCAGATATAAGTTTCTGGATATTCCTCACTTAGGAGAATTTTCCAGTTTGAATCAACTACGAAGCTATCTTGACCGCAATTTCTTTGAAATTCCTTAGTATTTTTTTTCTTTACTACCTGATAAAATTAATATTGATGTATCTGTCTTATCTCCTTTGTTAGACCAGCATACACCAAATACCATGTTTTAAATGAGTGTATGACTAGTCTCAAAAGATGCTTATTAAGTCTTTGTCTAGGGTTGAACAAGAGAATAAATTTTCACAACACTTAAAATATCTCCCAGAGAAAAACATTTGAATTATATACAGATCTCATGTAGTTTTAGTACAAAGCTAAATAAAGACTTATTTCTAAGCAATATGCTAATCATGCTCAATTGTTTATCAAACCGTCTATCAATTGGTTGGAATATGTAGATATAGCAAAACAACACAAAGCAGAACAAACAAAAACAACCATTACCCAGGATGTGCAGGCCTTGTAGGTTATTACAGAATATTGAAAGGACTCATTTTTTTTTCTATGACTGAGAGAGGGAACCATCACAGAATTTGGAGCAGAGATGTAGTGTGATGTGACTTATGCTTTCAAAGAATCACTGTGGCTGTAAGTGGGTCCCAGATTATTAATAACAGCAATGCTCATGACACCGAAGCTTTGTTTATAAAATGTAACCCAAGATATTATGACCATTTTATTATTATGATTTTGAAATTTATTTGAAAATATTTTTTACTATATGAAAGCAAATAAAGTCAACTTTATTTCTCTAATATTTTGTCATATTCTGAGCAAGTGGGCAGAGGATAATGAGAATTAAGTGAGGTAACCTTGTCTGAGCAGAATTTATAAGATATAAAAGTGTATTGCCTATTTAGTGATAAAACAGGAGAATCTCTGCTGGTATGATTATTTTTGTTGTGTCTTTTCAAGAAAAGACATGGGAATAAAATGTTAAAAGAACTTATTTTCAGATAGGATACTACACTCTAAAAATATACTTTAGTACCATGTTATTGCCAGTAAATGATTACTCTCAAAAGTTCAGGTAGTTCAGACTAAAACGATAATTATGAATAACATTGATTTCTTTAATGAAAATGTCAATAATGGTAAAAAAAAGCATTATTCTTTTTCCCCTTTACATTAGTCTCCTAACCTTTCATTATTCAACAATAGAGAGAGCTGTAGGATAAGTTAGGAAAGGTCACAAGACTGTTTAGCCTCAACCCCTAGATCTAATTGTTGGAAGGCAGTTCTCTGTGAATGCTTTTGTGTCACCACAGGGTCCAGACTTTCTAAGGAAAGACCACTGGTAAGCTTGGTTAAAGGATGGTTGAAGAACAACCATGTCCTGGAATAATACACAGACAGTATATTGCTTCAGAGGGATTTGGAGACTTCTCTCTCCTGTAGATATCTTGCACCCCAGAGTAAAAGTCTCCACCTATTCAGAGCGGCAGATGGGCCACTGTGCCAGCCAAAGCTCTGAGTGTCATGCTTTTGTGAGTTTGTGGTACAACCCTTCTGTAGGTGGAGTAACGTCATGCTGCCATAGCTTCACCAGTGCTAAGATGCTCCATGAATAATAAACTGCATTCTGACCTGTAGACTTTGTGTTTCCTGTCAGGATATCCATCTATCTGTCTGTCTATCTATCTATCTATCTATCTTCTA